CAATCTTGATCGATCGGGTGACATTGACACCTTCGCGCCAGTTGTCTCGCATGCAGCTAATCGCTTGCTACTGGTATCTGCCGCCGCAGACGGTGATCACGTCATCCCGCATGATCTCGATAGCGCGTTCCTTAATGCCTTGTTGGATCGATCGCGACGTCTATTGCCGCTTGCCACCCATCTGGGCAGCAAAGCACAAGACGGCAGTCGTGAAGCTACGCAAAGCGCTTTATGGGCTAAAGGACGCACCGCGAGCCTGGTTCAAGAAGTATGAGAGCATCTTGACCGAGTTAGGTTGGGAGCCCTGTCCTTCTGCGCCTGGTTTGTGGAGAAAGCCAAGTCTATCGCACCCAGGAAGATATCTCAAGCTTGCTGTCTATGTCGACGACAACTTGATCGCCGGGCCTGATCTTGCTGAACTTCGTGCCGAATTGCAGAAGACTCTGTCGCGCGTCCCCGGGCGTGAGATAGCTGTCGAGCTCTTTACCGATTCCAATGGTATCGAGTGGCAAAAGTCCGACTTCCTTGGGGCGATTGTGTACTACTCTAGGGAGCGCAAGTCAGTGCGTTTGACCATGGAGGAGTATATAGAGAAAATTGCTAAGAAGCAAGTTCGCTGTCACGCTTGGCAAGCCGGTACGTTCTCCGAATTTTGACGAGTCAGCTCTGACGGAAGAAGATCTTGAAGAGCTGAAGGATTATCCTCTCAGATCCGTAGTTGGTGCGTTGCAATGGATCGCGACCACTGCGCGTCCTGACATTTGTGTGCCGGTTTCTTCTCTAGCTCGCTACGTGAGCAAACCAGCCACGAAAAGGATCGCTTACGCCTGTAGGAAAGTGATAAAGTTCCTCCTGACAACGAAGGAAGTGGGACTATCGTACAGTCCAGAGGAGGAAGAGGCGTTCAATGAGATTTATCAGAAGTTAGTGCCGGAGGGCAGGGACGTGCCACGTCTGAGCCTGTTCTCTGATGCTGGATTCGCGAATTGCTTGAAGACGATGCGTTCTGCCACCGGTTCGATTATGTACTACCGCGGGTTCCCGATCTGCTGGCGCAGCAATCGGCAGACTGTGCGTGCGTATTCGACGGCGGAAAGCGAGTATATCGCAGCCTCTGAAATTATTGTGCTCAGTGAGCAGAACGACTTCGCTGACTTCTTCGCTCCTCTCCCTACCAGAATGGTAGAAACGCAGTGCGGCTTATCTCCGTCCCTGGATGATGCCATCTTGTGGGTGGACAACCAATCCGCAATCGCTACAGCCAAAAGCACAGACACAAAACCGAAGTCACGGCATTACGCTCTTCGCTATTTGCGTGTGCGAGATGCTGCCAGTCGTATAGTCTTCTGCCCGACGCATTTGATGAAGGCGGATGGGCTTACGAAGCTGGAATGGATGCTCAGTGCCACAGCGCAGGCTGCTTTTGCATCACGTAGACAAAGCAATCCAGTCATCTCCTGTGACTCTTCTCATCCTGGCGCCCAGTCGGATGATGAGGATGATTTTGATGCTTCTTTCTATACTAGTTTCTACGATGATAGTGGAGTAGCTTTAGTGTTGTACGAGTACGCTGTAGACTTTGGATTTTGACCCGAGAGGGGGAATTTATGCAACTTTGTATCTATTTAGGAACATGGTTGAGTAGGACTCTTAGGGGCTACAGACTGCATCGATTGAGGAGGGGTGTTGGTCATGTGATCTAAGCCCTACCTCCGCGCAAGCCTGAAGCGTCTACGAGATCCCGAAATGCCTGTCCTCCAAATGCAAATGATGAAGAATTTGAGCAAATCAGGTTCTCTTGGTTCGGATTTTATCAAGGACCGGCGACCCTGGTAAAATCTTTACCAGGGACCCGGGTCCCAGATGAAATCCCTACGCAGGCTCCCACGGTACCGATTTGACCGATCTCAGAATGGTCCTGATCCTAGCCAAATCCTGGATGATGACTTTATCAAGGACCGTCGTCCTAGTTCAAAACTTTATCAAGGAGCTCCGACCTAGATAAAAACTTTACCAGGGACCCCCGTCCCTGATAAAATCGCACCCATACAGAGTGGGAAGTAGGTCCCAGAATGACTAGAGATCTGGAGTCTCAGAGCCTGTGA